CTAATGGCAAGGACTTGAGTATGATTTTCAGTGTTCACTGCAATACTCGAGTCCTGACTTGAGTATTGAGTAGAGTTCTGGAATACGACACTGAGTTAATCAGGTAGATGGATTAAAATAGATTAAAATAAACAGAGACATGTCTGCCGCTTAAGTTGACGAACTGCAGACCAGTTCTGTGTTGCCATTGTTATTGTTTTAACCAATGATAAGCTCCGTATCCCATTCACAATAAAATAAATTTTATTACTAAAGGACTTTCATAATAAATCTCAATAATTCTTAAAAAAAACTAACTATTTATATTATATTTATTGTAACAAACTAGTGGAGTAATTTCACAAAAAAATGAAGATCATGATAGTAAAACATTGTGATATTCATTCAATAAAGTTAATATTACAATTTATTAAAGCGACATCTCTTGTCAGCCGCTGGTAGCTATAAGGATACCTGCACGGAACAATAAATGCACTAGAAGTGGTTAGTTAGCGTCTGATGCGTACCAACTATAGGTCTCGAAAGACCTATGTGAGCTAAGTTCGCCACTTTCGCTTTGTATGGTATGGTCGTGTAATACTTTAGTGCAAATTCTCTAAAATGCTAGAAAAATGCCTTATTCTGCTATTTTGGAGACAAAACTGATAGCCGCATCCATTGACTTACAATTGTATGGATGTCGGGTCCGCGCTAAAAAGTGTCCGAACTTATAGGGCGTTAAAATCGTATACAGAGCGTCATTCACGCTTTAGTCTTCGTTTGTTCGACTGACAGCGAAGCAAGCAAAATTAGACAGTACTGCGATGACATTACAATTTAAATTCAACGTTTTAGCTTTTTCATATTCCTTTACATGTCACTACGTTTAAATAGGTTGACTTGGGACATTTTTTCGTGGTTTTTGTATTAGACCCGTCGTCCATTTATTTGTAAGTCAATGGCCGCATCAAAAATATTTCCCGTGGTAGTATTTCATATAATCGAAGTCTTATTTTAATCAATTTTCAATTTTCTGTTCATCGAAATCATTTTTTGTTACAAGAAGCGAAAGTAAAGCTTATACCCCTGCAATATGGTTGCTTCTTGTTTGGAGAACTAAATTAATAACTCTAATTCGTCGTCTTTCAGCAATGAACTGCTAGATGGCAGCACATGGATTGACATTTCAATATAATATCAAAACGTCCTAACTTTTAATAATAGGTACTGATGATATTAAACTTTCAATATACCAATAGGGTAAAGTTTAAATTATATGAACAATCCAGAATTAATTACTTCTTTTTAAATTTGTAACTACGACCAATCAATATATAGATTTCGTAGTGTATCAAATTATGAATGTGTGAGTTTTGGCGACATCGGTTCTCTTAGCAATAGAGGCTTAAGGTAGAGTGAAGAAAAACTTTCATAAATTTCTCATAGATGGCGTCATGACAAAAAAGTCGTTAAAAACCAAAAACAAATATCTGCAACAAGCACATAGAGAAAATCGTAAGTTCCGTAAAATTCGTTCCTTTACAAAACATTATGATATCGATAAACTTCATACAAGTATTTGAAGAGTCCACGGAACGAATTTTAAAATATTGGTGAAAAAGACACGCACAAATATAACTACCAACGTCAAAGTCAAAGTCATATAATCAGATTTATTCCATAGGTAAAATTTTTACACTTGAAAACGTTACTTTTTAAGCTACTGCTCGTTCACTACGCTGATCTCCCTGAGAAGACCGAGCAAGAAACTCTAGGGATTGCTCTTTTCAAATAAACTTAAATGCCATGGAATACACTTTGAATCATAATTGTGTGGAATCTAGACTCATGCTGTCTTTCCATATAGCTTTATCTAACACGTTGTCTACAATTTTGTAGTATGACTTTTCAGTTAAAATATTTTTAATGTTAGTTTTAAACTTAGGAAATGATAATCTTAATATGTGCCCCGGGATCTTATTGTAAAAACGTACACAATTCCCCATAAAATAACCGTTTACCTTAGTTAAACGAAATTGTTGTACAATGAGTTTGGATTTAGTTCTAAGGTTAATATTATGGATATCTTCTTTCTTAACGAAAATATGTTTATGGGCATACAAAATATTTGAGTAAATGTATAGTGACGCCGCAGTCTTTATATCAGTCTCCTTAAACTTTTCTCTGAGAGAAACCCGAAAACCTAAACGGTACACAGAACGAATCGCTCGTTTTTGCAACACAAAAATGTGGTTTGTATAGATATCTGCCACTTTACCCCATATGAGTATCCCCTAGGACATTATACTATGGAAGTAACTAAAGTAAATTTGTACATCAAAAGCAATATCTGTAAGCTCACGTTTTCTACGGGCACAGCTTAATCTGCTGGCTAATGAAGATATACCTGAAATAAAGTAAATGCTGACATAAATGTATATAAAGCTTACATAGCGTGGATTACAATCCAATTTAACTAAATACATTAATTTGTATTGAATTGATATTCAATTATTTTTTATGAAATTACTCCACCAATTTGTTATAATTATGAATGCAAACTTGGAAAAAATTCCGTCGGTCCGGCCGGATACGAAGCGACGTCTTCTAGCAAACCGTGCCAGAAGCTATGCTAGGGGACGAACCTCACGAACTTTTCTATGTGCTTGTTGTTGGATCTTTGTATTTGGTTTTTCAATGACTTTTTAGCCGTAGCGCCATCTATGAGAAATCTATGAAAGTCTTTCGTCATTCATTTCTAATTTTTCTACCATTTAGTCGCACGCATGTTTATGACTAAAAGTAAAAGTTAATTTGAAGGGATTTATTAGCCTTTTTCTGATTTAGGCCAAGTACGCTCAGCGTTTACCGAATTAGATGGCGGTAATAACGTATTTCAAACGACTTTGATAATTCTTTCCTTGGTCTCTTCATTTTGAATAAGGCCATGCTATACCTATTTGAAAAGCAACACTATAATGTAGACTCTACTAATCCTATACATTTGCAAATGTTTGGTAACAACAGCTTGCGAGTGGGATTACCTTATTTGGTGGTTTTTTCTGCGACCGCACGTCAAACAGGTACATTGTTGTTTGACCAGTGCTGACATATAAATCGTGGTACATTCCCGTGAATCCGGTTTATCGGATTCCGCTCTCCGTTATTGGAATTGTAAATTGGAATGTTCTGTGGAAAAAATAAAAATAAGATATTTAATTAATATTTCATAATTATAATTTATTTTAATTTAGTTTTTTTTCTTACTGTGTATTATTGTGTTGTGGCGTTATGTAATAAATCCGTGTGTAATAAATTCCGTTCCGTTCCGTTCCGTTCTGTTCCAATAACTTTTGTAATTGTAGTGAAAAATGGGGTGGCTTGCATTAATATTAGACGTAACTGGTTGAAGACTTTACCACCTCAGTTAACCGTGACATGAGACCTGTAAAGGGGATTGAAACGTTGGTTTGATTGAAAAAACAAATATCCGTGATTTAAATCCGGAAAAACAGTTTCATTTCCTTTGGGTAACAATCGTGAAGACCAAAGAACTTGAATGTAACATTACTAGTACTAATTTATATTACTCTCTAATCTAATTTATATTTTTTAAATTATTTTTAGTGGACAGAGTAGATATTTATCCCTCCGAAACCTTCGTCGCAGTATGTTGTGGTGTTAAAACCTATGAAGAACAAGATTACCCAGAGAGCGAAATAAAATTCACAAAACTTTTCGTCCAATTTTGCCATCCACCGAGAGAATCCTACGCAAGCGTCCTACTTGAACATAATTATAATATTAAAAACATAAGAGTACTTACAATAGACCAAACACCTGACGATTTCGTTTTAAAAGTTAAACATCTCGATGGACTGGACCTCACTGAAGTGAACATACTAGGTGAAAGTACAGACAATCTTGTACAAATCAATAGTGATGTTCTTGAAGCTATAAGTAACGTACAATCGATGTATTTCGAAAACGCCGTCATAGCAACTATGCCTAAGACAATGAAAGCTATTGCAGTAGTAGTAAATTACGGCAGATTCAAAGGCACTTGGGGAGGATGTGAAAATCTAGAATATTTAAAATTTACACAAGTTGAAGTTCCAGATATAGAGAATTGGCTGGCAAAATGCACCAAATTGAACACTATTATACTAGATCGCTTACCGTTGGTATGTTCTTTGCGATGGATTCTTCAAGGAGCTACGACTTTAACTGAACTTGGAATTAGAGACAGCCATATCAAATTAAAAACAAAGGATCTTTTCATCACCAATATCAATTTGAGAAAAATGGACTTAACCAACAATAGGATTGTACATTTGGAACGGTAACTATATGACGTCTGTAATCTTGCCCATCAATATGAATTACTCTTGATCATTAGGCTCGAAAGAAACAGAATTATCGAAACAAAATGATGTTTTTTTACAATTATAGAGATTTCTCTATAATAACTGTAATTCATGTTGATGGCTAAAGACAACCTTAAACACCGCCTAATAAAAACGTTTTATTTTTAAGTAGAAAAAGATTTATTTAATTCACTATAAATGTGATGCAAAGAAGCACAGTCGATGCCCCAAGACACCTGACCCCCTAGACGATCTTTTGGTTCTGAGAGCCTACTTACGCATTCAACTGAAAAATGCGAAGGAATTATAAGATTTTGGTTGAAATTTATATTTTGAACTTTGTGCGCTTGCGATGTAATCAGGAAGTCAAATAAAAAATTATTTTATGGCTCACAGGTTAAAGTTTGTTTAACACCTTTCTGCACACTAACCTAATCGGTACCACATAGTCGATTTAGGTGGTCAGATATCTTAGGGCATGACTCGTGACGTCCCTCCTCGCGGCTACCTAACTTACTGGCGAACGAAACCCCCGCTCCGATCGCCCGCAGCCGCGAAAGTACGCCACCGCCGAACGGGATCGGCCCTCTCCCGTTCACGCTCGGCGACCTCCTTCTGAAGCATCACCGCTTCACAGAAGGACACCACAACCTCATGGGACTCTTGATCCGCCAACATAGCCGCAACTATACCTGGCGGAGAGAGATCTCGCCCGAACCGGGCAACCACGATGTTCCGCTCGGAGGCCCATGCAGGGCACTCTTCCAGCGTGTGCTGGACGGAATCCTGATCCCTCCCACAGTGGTGGCACTGCGTCGTCGACTCGCGTCCGATCCGATTCAGATACTCACCGAAGCATCCGTGCCCGGTGAGTATCTGTGTCAGTCGGAACGTGGTGACGCACTTCCACTGGCTCAACCAGACTTCGAGGTTGGGATGACTGTACATTCTATTTCAAGAAAAACAACCGATCGCAGGTGGGACTTGGTTGACTTATAAGGGACCGTCGATGCTTTACATTGCTTCGAATTCATGCGATATCACAAAAACCAGTCGAGTCACCTTTTTTGATTTTTAGTTCGAGACTTAATCATGTCTAAAACACATTTTAATTACCTCGACGTTTCGGACGTATTGCAACGTCCGTAGTCTCGAAGGGACTGAAAAGGCAGCTGTACCTTCCAGCTGTGCGAGTTTTTCTAACTACCCGAACTTGGTCTATCTGTAACAATCGCGAAAACCTAAGAACTTGATAGATACTTGATGTCGTTTACATTTGCTGATGACTGGATCCCACGACCATGAAAGCTTAAAACTGTCTCATCGGTTGAAATTACGGTGTTTTTAATTTCAACAGCTTAACGTTAGGTTCTACTATAGTGATGACGTTCTATAAAAAGGATCTTGGGGTTATGAAGCTCAATCTCAACGAACTAAAAATCAAATAATGTGTGAAAATCGTGAAAGTTTGAATCAAAGTAGTACCTGTACCTGCGATTGGCCGCGGCGTTACCCGAAATAGCACCTTACAGACAAAACTCTTTCACAGGTTTGAAAACTTGACTAAACTGGAAGAGTTGAACTTATCCAAGAACCAGTTAGCAGACGAAGTACGGAATATGATGATTTTAAGTTCACTACCTGCTCTCACTGCCCTCGATCTGACTGATGTGTATTTGCCCAGTTTCTGCAACCATTTCAATAAAAGGTATTTTTGTTATTCATTACAAATTCATTTTGACTTTGGAACTTTGATTACCCAAGCCAAATAGAATAAGACAAACGTTGTACCACAACGTCTATGGAATATATTCATCGTAAACAATAAAATTTATGTTACTCAACTTTCACCCATCTCAGATGCGTGGAACATGTAAGGTTCTTTATAAGAAGGACTCCGCCAAAATTCGACATGCCGTTCCGTCTAAACTTTCTATATTCATCAAACACAAACGTATCGACTGTATTGTATACATGTCATAATCAGAAGATTAAAACATTGACCTCTTATTCACGGTCAAAGTCAAAAAATAATTTATTCCATAGGTACAATAAATTCACACTTTATTATATCTGACATCATTTTTTAAGTTACTGCTCGTTCATTGTGCTGACTTCCCTAAAAAATACGATCAAGAAACTACAGAAATAAATTATTTAGAATATACTTTGTATCAAATATTTGTGGAATATAGAGTTATGTCGTCTTTCCATAAAGTTTTATCTAACATGCAGTCTTCAATTTTGTAATATTACTTTCCAATTAACATTTAATATACCTTGGTTTGAAACTGAGGAAATAATATATGATCCTGAATCTTATTGTAAAAACGTATACAGTTCCCCATAAAAGAATCGTTTACCTTAGTCAAACCAAATCATGGTGCCATAAGTTTACGCCTAAGCTCTAAGGTTAATATTATGAACATCTTCTTTCGTAATGAAATCATGTATATTTTACACTATTATAATTTTATTATTAATTTATAATATAAATGAATAATAATTTGAATAGTTTTATATTATTAATAATTATGTATATATTATTTTATTATTCGAATCAGATCTCGGTACAAAATAGCCTGATTAACATGCACAACGTAGGGTCCTAACCACAAAACGATCACGGTCTTAAATAAATAATATACGGGCACGTATGAAGACACTGATGGGAGTGAAGGAAGCCACGGAGGTTTGTCGTTTAGAGGTTTGTTGAGGAGGAACTTAGCAGTTGAAGTACTATTGTAGAAGTAGTATTGAATCCATAGTCTCTGCCTACCCTAGTGGGAGACAGGCGTGATGATATGTACTAACACCCCTAAACTAACTTCCGTTTGAATATTGTATTGCAGTAAAAAAAATAATTTAATGACGGATGAAGTGGATAAAACTGTGAAACCTTTCAATGTGACCATTTTGGACCTCGAGGGAACTGGCATGTCAAGACTTTGCTTCGCAAACTGGCCCTCACTGCGGTATCTCTACTTGTATAGAAACAATATTTCTGTTTTGGAGGTAAGGTTTTAAATTTCAAAATGAAATATCTTTAAAGACAACAACTGTTTTCTTAAATATGGAATGTCCACATTTAACACAAGCTATGAATTTTCGGCATAAGGGTGGATTCATGTCGAAGTTGTGAAAGAAAGCTCGTTGACCATATAATATTATGAACTGCCAAAGTGTGTAGAATCAATCAAAAAAATTAAGCGTGTAGAATCATATTCAAGTAAAAGAAGTTGGTGCAAACATTACAAAGTATACGTGATCTAACGTGAAATGACATGTAACATTTGAGGAAAGAGAAAAAAGCCAAGAACTATACAATGAAGAATGCGGTCCAGAGCAATAATAGCCCACTTAGGCATTTTTTTAACATTGTAAAGTCTACCTGTACTTGTTTTTCATTATTATAGGTCAATCAATTACCGATTAACAAAACTGGATTGCTGAGAGTAAATTTGTTTGGCAACCCTGTTCGTCAAGTTGAGTTTGGTGAAAAGAACTACGAATTCTTAAAATCACGTGCTAATGTAAGTAAAAACTGATATAGATATCAAAGTAACAAACCTTGTAATCCCTACTTCGCTGTATTAGCGCTGTATTTCAAGAGCTCATTCTAAGAATTCTATCACCATTACTGCGTACCGGTTTTAAAAAGTAAGGATGCTGGTAAAACAATTGGCACATGAGATTCGTTGACTTTTGTCTCACAGACGGGTGCAGTGGCAGTACCTCTCAGAAGAAGAAAGCTTTAAGTAGCACTGCAACTGTTGTGGAAGCGTGTCGCTTACCGCCAAACGCACGACTTGTTCATCCTATCACTTGATATCATAAAAAACAATACTTCAAAGAAGAAAAGTGTTCAAAAAGCAAAATCATTGCATTCGTGGTGTTTCAGATAACAACCAACTTCACTACATTTAAACTCGTGTTGTTAGAATTCCCAAAAATGGTATCAAGGAAAGCCGTTGGTCTTAATCTGAGCATTCCCTCTTAAAAATATATCACTCTACCTAAAAAAGACCTTGTACTGTTTAATTATTAGATACAACCTCCAAAGATTCCTAAACAAATAAAAATTGTTTTTCCTAATGTGGAAGGAAACCCATAGGATTATGTGTTTCCTTCCTTTCTATTTTAGTAGCATCGTCGTTTTTTATACTGACCTGATATTCAATATCCCAATTTATGCCAGATGTTTCAAGGTTACAATTCCTTTCGATTTCATTTTCAGTATACACTCCCAACTTTCAAATATAAGAGACTGAAGTATGTATTTTGTCATATGCTTAAAACCGCTTCTTGCCCGTGGACCACCTGCCTGGTCCACCTGAGTGAACCACGGGCTATTATTTCTTCCCAACATGTAGCTCTCATGACAACTTAGATTATAAATGGCGTTATCGCTCGATCAACTTGAAAACCAGCCTAAAGTTTTTTTATAATATCAAGTAGATAATAGTAGTAGGAAGCTATACGCCTGACATAACAGTTGCAGTGCCAATCAGATCGGGGCATTGCTACTGCACCCGTCACCCTGAGACATAAGTTGACAAGTCCCATGCGCCTGCAATTTCACCAGTACCCGTACCCTGCAAAATCGGAACACAATAATGCTGACACTGCTAGGCGGCAGAAATAGATAAGATGGTACTTACTACTACCTGGACGAACTCTTTCATGGGAGCTATAAATAGCTTAGAAATAAATGCCATTCCTATTTAATTTTGAAATTAATTCTGGACTTGCCACGTCTGCTAACTCGTTCCGTCCGCTGAGCGAGCGATTGGTGGTTTGGCGAAAAAGTCGCTGGTTCGAGTCCAGCCTCATTTTCACAAAACATGTTGGCTGAATCATGATGTTCAACAAAATACAAAAACATAGAGATTGATGTTATACATTACAGGATTGGATTTTAAGGTCGAATGTTAGGCCTCAGCAGTTAATAATCATCATCACCATCATATCAGCCGGTAGACGCCCACTGCTGAACATAAATACCCCCCAAAGATTGCCAGACTAGCCGGTTAGACGCGACGTGCATCAATCGGTTACCCGCCGCCCTTGCCAGGTCATCCGACCATCGCTCCCCCTGAACGCCTTCCGGTTCGTAGTCTCCATTCGAGAACCTTTCTGTTCCAACGGCTGTTAGTTCTACGAGCTATGTGCCCTGCCCACTGCACTTAATAAACGGATATTTATTTTCTGAGATTGAACGGTACTTTTCCTTTCAGATTACAAGATTCGAAGTAATAATGAACTTCACGTTGGATTGCGACTGCCATGGCGCATGGTTTGCGCGCGCAGCTCGTGAAAATGTCATTACTGCTATACTAGCAGGCTGTAGTGACGGGACAACCCTGACACTTGTGCCACCAGAGCAGGTTGAATGCGACAAGTTTCCTTGTGAAGGTTAGAATTTGAAAGTCTAAGAATATAAGTTTTTCTACTAATATTCTTCATCTCATTTTCTCTGCTCTATGATATTGGGTTATACAAAAAGCCATTAAGCTGAGCAGTTAACAGCTCTTCTGGTGTGTGGTGTGGGTGGTGTGCAAATCTCCATGGCCGACGATGACCACCTCACAAGTGGTGTACCATTGTCATCGTAAATTTCCATATGGTAAGATGGAGCTCAGATGCGCACTTACTCTTTTATTTAAAAAAGTGATTGGCGACAAAAAGAGACATTTAACAATAGCAACAGTAGGAAAAATTCAAGAACCCTCAAGTTTATTTCTATCTGAAATACACCGCAAGGGAACGAGAAGTGAGATTCTCTTGAACATAATTTTTTATTATACCAAAATGGATGCATTTTAGGCTGCATATGCCGCCGTTTGTGGAGGGACAACATGACACGAGCAAATTGCACAGCACGAGGGCTTCATGCGTTGCCGCAAGTACCAGCGCTGAAAGAAATGAATGCTAGCAACAATCTTATTAAGACCATTTATGTTCATGATCTGCCACAGACACTCCTAGTAAGTCCCATAGCAATTACATTTAGACAGGCCAATAATTTAAATAACCATCATAATTTACTTTTCACGCATTTAGGTATATTAAAAGAACGTTTACATGTTTCAGTCCCTTGATTTACGAAATAACCGTATAGCACGACTAGACGAAGCTGCAGCGGTAGCTCTTTTCGAGATACCAGACCGTCGAGTAAAACTGTCAGGCAATCCCATTATTTGTGACTGTGAAAACAAACCATTTCTAGAGGCTCTCAGGGATTATCAAAGTCAGGTATTCATAGTTCTTTAATACAATCGTATTAATTTAATATCAGTGGTAATTTTGTATTGTAACTCTTTTCTCTCTCAGAATGGGTTCAAACAAGAGATCTAATTGAAGTTACTGGAATTCTTTAAAAGTCGATCACCATTTTTGTTCAGATATCAGGATGACATTTACCATTGAACTTGGCTGATATCAGGATCTCATCATCAGGTCAATAAAATGTGAGAAATAACTATCGTATAACGAAACTATTGGAATTTCAGGTCGACGATTACAACAATGTCACGTGTGCTGGAGACGAGAAAACTATGGATAAAGTGGATTTTGATGAATTGTGTGATACTAAAAAGGTTTTGCTAACTGCTACGTTAGCTGTAAGCGGAATGTTAATAGGTTTGGCAGCTCTTATTGGTGCACTGTATTGTCGATATGAGAAGACAATTAAGATATTTCTCTACGCACGTGGCATTTGTTTATGCTGTATGGTTGAAGACGAACTTGACGCAGAACGCGAGTACGATGCGTTTGTTTCTTTCGCTCATGAAGACGAACAGTTTGTAATGGAAGAACTACTAGTATTTTTAGAGAAGGAATACAAAATTTGTGTACACTACCGCGATTGGGTAGTAGGTGATATGATTCCGACACAGATAACACGGTCCATTGAAAATTCTCGGAGAACTATAATCGTGTTATCGAAGAAGTTTGTGAAATCATTATGGGGACTATTAGAATTTAGAACGGCTCATGTCAGCGCACTGAGTGAAGGCAGAGTGCGGGTCATCGTGTTACTTATAGACGATGTTACGGAAGATGACACCTTGGACTTGCAACTACGAGGTTATTTACTCACCAATACGTATCTGAAATGGGGAGATCCGTGGTTTTGGGATAAGCTGAAATATGCAATGCCACATAAAGGAATAGTAGACAACGAAACTGTATCAAGTAATTTAAGTGAAATGTCGAATTTTAATAGATCCAGTTTGTTGAGGACTGGAATAAAACTGCCTGCCTTGCCACCGCCTACTACTTGTTAATCTAAATCACTGATTTCCATAGTAATCTCGACCCCAGGAATCTATATCCAAAAATGGGTCTGTGTCAGCAAAAAAAAAATAGAGGGTGCAAAAGACGTTAATGGGGATCCACACGAGTAGAACCCAGTTAAGCAGGTCGTGATCAATGTTTTTATATTCCATAAACGAAATAATCCACATTATACAAATAAATAGTACCTATATACCTAAATAAGTTTTCTCATTATATTATATTGAAAGTTTTTAAACAGTATGGGAAAATCCGAAACCATAGAAGATACAAGGATACTGTCTTACGAACCATCAATTTTTTTTTTTGTGAAAACAACTTTGGCATAGTAAATTTTTTGGTCAAGCGTGTGTGCATTTATATGGACATAATCTATAAAATTGATCAATTTTTTTAGTGCTGATCGACTCATTTTTTATTGTATGGGACAAAAAAATCAGGACAGCAGACGTTGGTTGGACAATAATTTTTTTTTATACTAGTAGACTCACTTTCTTATAAGAATGACTTCATTGTATCGGAGGAAAAAAATTGGGACTACCGGACATTGGTCAAATTTAATATTTCATAGAATATTAACTACTTTCAACAGCAAAAATTACAACAGAAACCATATTTTATTTCCATAGAACAGCGAATTCCCACTACTGTTTATTGGACATATAATTTGAAAGTTTCAACATCACATTTAATATATTCAATACATCTATGTATTGCGGTTAGAAAACTGACCAACAAAAGCTTGCTAAAAGTAAATTATATACATGTGGGCCAAATAATGCAATAACTTCATTAATGTTTATAGATAGATCTTTAATTCTACGACAAAACTAATAATAATCATAACAAAAATATATATGTACTTTCACAAAAAAAATTCAGTGAATATACTCGCATTTTTGTCGTAAAGGGCTAGAATACAAAAATAGTATTATCATCGAAGAAAAAGTTTTCCCCCAGTTTTGCAAATCCAAATTCCCAACAAGGACTTATGGAAAAGACGTTTAGTAGGGGAGAGGTGTATCAGTAGTAACAAAAAAAAAACTCTTCATAATATTTTAATAGAGTAAATACAGCGCAATTATTTTTGGCCACAATAAAAAAAAAACAAAAACACAAGTTATTTAATAATAAAATCAAATAAAGAAAATAACAAAAAAATAGATGAAATTCTAGAAAACCAAACTTATTGAGATCATCTAATAACGTTACAATTGTTGCACCAAGAGGGTCAATTGTAACAGCAACGTGAGTCCATTGTAACAAACATAATCTCAGTACAGAGTACTCAGAAAATCGACCTCAAAATTACGAGGAATTACATATAATTACCAAGTTTTATTGAAATCGGTTACCGGAAAGTGCGCAAACCCAGATTCATCGCCTAGTTCGCCACTATACGGGACTTGACACAGGAGATAATAAAAATCGGTTCTTACTACTCAAAGTATATTGAGAGAAAAACGCCTTGAATTGGAGAATAGCAAAGTCAACCTTTAAAATAATTGCTCCTTATAATCAAATTTAGGCGCTATTTATAAAAATTAATCTTCATGCGTGAGCAGCCACCCTTAGAGGTGGATGGTTTTCTTTAAAATTAAATGGACCTACTGTGGAGGTACCCTCTTTCCAACAAAAAAAGAATCATGAAAATCGGTTCACAAATACCGGAGTTATAGCGTAACATACATACTAAAAAAACATACAGTCGAATTGAGAACCTCCTCCTTTTTTTGAAGTCGGTTAAAAAATCATCAACAATAAAAAAATAAATGAAACAAAATCTTGTCAGAAGTTTATGATAATTAACTGGTGTGAAAATACAGGATGTAAATTGTAGCATGTTACAATTGCACCTCCTTGTTTTGTTACTTTTGCACCACCTGTCGCCTTTTGGCAGTGAAGACTTAGATAACAAAAATCTATGGTAAATTTGATCAACTCACATACCTGCACGTATAGATTAGATGTTAACTTCTACAAAAATCCACCACTGAACGCTGTAATACTGTTTTATTTAATAACATTAAAAAAAACTGTACTAAGCAATTATTTTGATTAACATGCTTCATTTCAAATTGTCATCTACTGACAGCCGATGCGTAAACTGTTTTACTTGTACGTTCGGTCGGTAAAACAGCATCAAGTAAAGCTTCGATTACTACCAAGAGCATCTGCGACTCGTCAATAGATGTAGTGAAATAATAAATTAAAATAATTGCCTCCCTGTTACAATTGACACACCTCTACCCTATACTAGTTTCAAAATTGCATAATACTTCGTGATCAATTAGACATTGTTTAAGCTTAAGGTACTTAATACTGAAAATGCGTGGTGGCTCGAATTATGTGTCCGGAAGTGTATAAATTGAATATTACAAAGAGGGGATAGCTTACTACTGGATACGCTGTGCTGCACTGCACTGCGGCACGCGACTTTACTCATTTTGCATTGAAAGAAATGTACTCATACTTTAATAAAATGTTTACATTATATGGCATACAGGAAAGACCGCGCAGCACTGCACGTCGTTTTTTGTTTTTTTTTTCTTAAGAGAAGTGTAAACATTTTTTTAAAACTTATTACTTATAACCTCATTATAGTTTATTTAGGTATATTTATACACACAAATAAAATAATGTAGTATACTATATGATTATAATTATATTATTTGATAATAATAATTATAATGTAGGTCATTATTACTGAATTTCAAATTTTACCATTGGTGTATTACGTTCCTCACTCTGTTTAGTTTACCTCTGCCTTTAATTTAAAGTTTTAAGTTGTTTGTACACTGATTTTGTTCTTATGTAAGAGCAATAAAGTGTATATCTGTCTATGTATCTATCTTATCATATACGAGATAAAATTTGTTTCATTACTTGTTTTAACACATTGCAGGGCCTGACAATGTGAGGCGACCCTTAAGGTAGGCAACCACCGATTAATTGTACAAGTAAGATTTATTGCAGCAGCTTTGAACGGTAAAATACCACAAAGTGATTACGCGGCTGAAGTCGGTCGACAGCTGACCGTACCACGCGGTTGCCGAACAACCCTTTATAGGTATTCTAGTTTGGTTTCTAGGGTTTTCAATCAGCTATCCCGCAAAGGTGGAAACAGTGGCGTGCCACACTAGATTCCGTTTTTTATATAAAGGACATTTTGCAGTTGACCGCTGACGGCCTTGACTGCGCCACCGAACAAAAAGCCTCTTAACTAGAGATGCCACGAATAGTGATTTGGTCGAATACCGAATATTCAGCCACGCTCTCGGCCGAAGCGCCAAATATTCGACTGTCGAATGTGCGCCATGTCTCATTGCGCTGCGTGCGGAGGTACAGTCAAGAGCACGACAAGCTTAACACTTAAGACTTAAATGCAACACTATGCCGCTTACGATAAGAACAGTCCAAAGTACAAAGTGTCAACCTTGATGTGCTCTTGACGGTAACGTGTGTGGGGTATTTTCAGTGAAAAAATAATAATAATAGCAGAAAATTTATTTATTTCAGAAACTTACAGACAAATTTCACATTGACAGTGTTAAGCTTTCAATATTTCATTTAGGGCAAGACATTTATGTCTGAACTAGATAATTCATTATCTGTATTTCAGACATCAGCGCTCTTCCGTGAATACATACAAGAACATGTGACTGATTTCAAAAATAACATTGTCTTCTAAAATAAGACTTTGAGTTTAAATTTAAAGTTACTTATAATTTTAAATGTGAGTAGAGATTTAAAGTCACAGAGATCGTTTAAGCATGAAAGGAAGAGAGTTGGGCCTATTATACTACCCTGCGGCACGCCATATGTGACTGGTAGGTCGTCACTCACAAAGTTATCTATTTCGACACGTTGATAGCGATTTGAGAGGTAATCCTAAAATAGCTTTAATTGTATACCTCTTCGTAAAGCTGATGTGTACCTCTTATCCCAAATTTTTCAAGCTTTTCAAATAGCAAAGGGACCGAGACCGTATCGAAAGCTTTGGCAAGATCTAAAAATATGCCAATTGTTTTTTTCCCTTTGTCAATACTCCTTACTACATAGTCAACAAGTACCGCTCTGAAACCAAACTGATTGCTTGAAAAACAGTTATTTGTTTCCATGTAATTTACCAGTCTATTATTTATGATGCGCTTCAATAGTGTGGAGAAAAGTTCTATTGCACATGAGATTGATTTTTATTTGCAAACTGTTCGCCTAGTACGGACGGCAGATTCTTACAAGTGGTGGTCAGCAAACGCAAAGTAATATCCAAGCCTATCAAAATTTGCTAAGATTTGTCTATCGTCTCCCGGCAGGATTGTTTATAGGGAGAGGCTATTTTCAGAAGCAGAAATTGTTAATGCTGAAAAAATTGTTTTCATTCATCACAACCTGCCACTGATTGATTTTAAGTATTAAAGCAATAATTTGTGATGGAAATACATGATACATTTTTAATAAAATGTGTTTTTTACATTATTTTTAAAAAGTGACCGAATAGGCCGAATACCGTATAGTGGCTACTATACGGTATTCGTAACAACATTATATAACTCATATCAAAATTTATAAAACAGGCCGGCTCAGAACGCTACTGGATACTTCAGGGCATGTCATAGAAACTGCCTCATTTCATGTGTGGTTTCCGATTCCGACACCTGAACAATTATGCCGAAGCTTGCAGCGGAATACCGGAGCTATAATATATAGCTCTTATAGTCAGTACCACTAACATGACATCGTAGTGGTTGGGTGGCTGGAGTCCCATATTATAAGCTTAGTTTGGGCTCCAGTTTCACACAATACATTGCTCTAAGCGTGTGTAATAACATGTTCTCTACTGTAATCTTAGTTTGTTTGTATTGTGGAGATAAATTAAGGATATTATTATTATTATTAATAGTGGCGGGAAGGCGGCCAGTGTGCCACCAAAAGCAGCCCCGTTGAATTTTCTATACAGATTTTATAGAAAGCACCACATCGTTATCGGATAAAAATTAAGAAAATTTTCCGCTTTTATTAGCGTTACGGAAGCAACACAAAAGAAATTTCGGTCGAATACATATTGAAACTTAATAAATTCACACTCCGGAGTTGTAAAAAAATACAACATCCAAGCCCGCTAAAGTCCCGCTCCCGGATCGCGCGCCGCGTCGCTGCTACCGCTCTGTGTGAACGGTTGCATAGAACCACAGAACCATAGACCTCAATGAAATACAACTCCCGCTCCCGCCTCTGTGTGGCCAGAGCATTACACTTCATTTGCGTGTTTCAGAGCACAAGTAAT